TATATATATAATTTTTGAAAACTGAAAGTAACTTCTACTTATAATAAAGAGGCAAGTAAAGAAAATAAAAAAAAAACTCGAGTGTTATTAGACTGGTCTTTTTAAGTAATCTGTTAGATTTGAGTCTTTAAATGTAAAAAAATGTAATTAAAAGACGAAACCATGTTAAACTGATGCTTGTTCACTTTTTGTTTTTCCTCTCTTCGACCGTGGCTTCTCATTGTAGAGGTAACAGAGAATACAATACCCCGTTTCTAATGGACAAATGGAAAATTGGAGTTTCAATTTTGTTTAATGAAGATTGTGACAATATTTTAAAAACTAATCCGTCATCAAATCTATTAAGATAATAATTTAGTGAATCAAAAGTTAAACTCATAATTACTCATCAAACCTAGTGACAATTTTAATTAAAAATATTTAAAAATATCCATGTCATATATATTTCATACTTATAAATTTTAACAATTTTTTTTACTATATTTAAAAAAACTTCCAAAAAATTTCAAATTATAAAATACTTGAATTGTAAAAATTAATATATATATTTTTAAATTAAAATATATAATATAAATTATTTAAGTCAATTGTATAATAATAAAATATATTAATTTAATAAAATACTAAGTTAATGGATAGTAAATCGAATAAATTAATTATATATAATTTAGCACAACAGATATGATATTGAAACTATTAAAATCACACAATTATTAAACTCACACAATTGTCACATAAAAAAGCGCTGGTGCAATTAATCTAGTTGCATGCTCACTACGTCAAGACGCTTGAAATGACAACGTAATGGCTTGATTTGTTTAATATCTGCAGCTGGAGAAAACGTGCCTCACTTTGGAAGGAAACCAAAATGATGTTCCCTATCAATTCAATGCCCTTTTATGATCCATTTAATGGCTAATGTTAATCAATCAACCCCTCAATTCGACTTCAATTCCTTTTTGGCTGTGTTAATCGATTATTAGCCGTATTATTCTATCATTAGATATAATAATAGGTATTTTAAGGGTAAAAAAGTCTTTTCATATAACCTTTTTTTCTTACTCATCAGAATAAGTAGGGAATTTTTTCCATCTTTTTTATCTTTATTAATCCAAATGATAATGTTTTCTACCCTGTTTTTCTTTTTCTTTTTTATCTATTTTTTTTTCTTATTTTTTCCCTTTATATGAGGATATCATAAAAGATTAACATAAATTAATGAAGTGAAATTTTAACTTTAATTAAAAGAAAGTATCAAAATATCTGTAATACTCCCCTTAAATTTATATATAAGTGGCTAAAATCACAATTGGTAGAAAGAAGGGGATTGGTTCACTAAAACCTTTTGTGATGAGTACAAAATGTTTGAAGTGAATTGAGAAGAAAAAGGATATATCATGCAGATATTTCTTTCCAAAAATATGACAATTCACAATTACAAAAGGTTGGCCGAGAAAGTTCAACAAAAACACCCCTAAAATTTTTTAAAGCAAGGAAATAACGTACAATTTACATTTTTTCAACCACTGAAATCATCTCAGGTACTTCAACTGGTCTCTACAACTGCATTTCGGCTTTCTAAGCTATAAGCAGTGTACTAATTAACAAGCTGGACTAGCTAGTAGAGAAGAAAAAGAAGAAAAATACAACTATGCAACTTTAGATACACATAGATATCTTCAATCCATGAGACACTTGATTGAGTGGACCATGTAGCTGCATTAGTAATCCATGCCTTTGCACATATAATCAAAAAAGCTCAACATATACCCTTTTTATGATCTTTCCTTTGATCATCAGGCACCTTCTTCATAATAGCTCATGCTGCAACCTTAGGAGAATCACTATACACCTCCATATGATATAAAATCTAGTTTTCTGCTCCCGGAAATGCCTTGAAAACCGTTTCCATAACTCGAGCTTTGGAAATCTCCATGACAAGAAATGTCTTGCCATGCAGTAAAAGCCTAGACAACATAGAGTTTTTGCTCCTTGTAACTTGATATAATTTCTCTCTCTCTCTCTCTCTATATATATATATATAACATAAGAAGAAGGTGGTGGAGATAGTGAGAAATTGCGTGGTAGGTGTGGCTTGAAACTGAAAGGGGTGAAATGGAATCTTAGATGTCGAAGTGGTCTCTGTCACTCTGTCCCCTTGCCAAAATCATCCTTGGAAAGGATTTGTTCCAATAGGACCCTGTCCGTATTAGCCTATTTATTTATTATCTACAACCTTTCTGTTTCTGACTCTATATGTAGTATATTTGCATAACAAGTGCATTGGTACCTTTATTTCAGCATTCCTTTGTATGTATTCTCTTAGATAGTCTCAATTATTGCACAATTAAAATATATTTTATTTATAATAAAAAACTTGATCACATAGTTCGGTAAGGATTTCACCAGAAGCAATATAACATTTAATAGTTGAAAATTGAACATTATTTTGTTGATTTACGTAGTGTATATATACATACACATATCACTATATATCAGTAATACATATACATACCTCAAAGAAGTACATTAACTTCTAATTATCATTACCAATCCTTTCTAAGCAACATCGATTTCTGCTGAAATGGGTGTTTTTAAACATATTCAAGAAGTGAGACAAGACACAAGCAAGAAATTACACCAAAAAGGTTCCTTTGAATACATTATTTTTCATTTGTATGTTTTTGAGACAACACAAACACACACTCAACACAGCCTTTCTCTAGGGGTTGGGGGCCGGAGAGAGAATAAGTGAGATTGAGAGAGAATTTTTACACTTCTGAGTTCATTTTCAAATCTCAAGTACAGTCTAATAAAGTTAGATACAAAGGAACATTGATTGCTAATGTAAAGTGTAAACTGTCAAATAGAGTAATCCACTGAGGTAGATACACACAGCACCTAAAAGTGATTGAAAATACTTTAAAAAGTGTTTCTGGCTAAGAGTACTTATGCCAATTAAGAAGCATAGAGATACAAATCCTCATAATATATAGCTTCCCCCTCTGTTGCTGCACAATTCTTCTCCACTTGACATATTTTCTACCCATTTTGCTCATCATAAGTTTCTAATTGCATAACATATGTTGCTCGGTTGCTCCTACTAACTGGCAAGCCACACAATTTATTGAAGGTTAAAATCCGATGTGGCAGTAGGGAATATGCTATTTGGATTCACATTGCGTTATCCAATATTTAGTCTCCACCTGTGCTTGAATTGGACACTAATACACGTGCTTCCAAATTCAGCTCCAATGCATTTAGCCTTTTAGTTTAATCATGCCGGCCATTGATGATTGTCGTTTCTATGAAAAAGATTAGCAAGTAAAAAACACCACCCTTATCTTAAACAGTGACTAACCTCACATCATTATCCCCTCAAACATCAAGGGTCTCTTTAACTTCCTCCTTCAAGGATATCATACGAGAGACACATGCGAGGCTTTGTTTTTTTACACAAGCCTCGGGGATGATTCCAAAACTTCACGTGAGATCCACACCATGCAGCCTCAAGAGTCATAAAGGGGAGCTGAGATTGTTCTTCGTCAAACAGGTGAAGCATGTGACTTGTAAGCTTGTCAAATAATGTCTCACTGTTTCGGAAAAGATTGGAAAGAGGAAACGCTCCCGTATCTTATCTCAAACCAGAAGTATCACAGATAAGATCTTTTGAATATGTAACTAATCTGTGTGGCCATGAAGGACTTAATCCACTGATATCCAGCTATTATGGGGCCTAGTCAAATAGCAATATGGTGAAATTTGAGCACTAGACCGACAGGAAAAATTTGTAGGTGATTTTGAAATCACATAATTTTTAACTAATCATTATATGACATATAATTAAGTGTTATTATTTTTTTTTTAGAGATCGAAAAACTTAAATACATATTACACAGTGATTGTTTGTGACCATGAATATTTCGTAATCCTGTATTACTTATATTTTTTTGTTCTAACAGGACTGGCAATAGTGCTGCACCAATGAGGGTGATGCACATGGAAGCTAGTTGCTGAAGGGTGAATATCATGCATGGGGACATCATGTTATTTCAAGGGTTGGAATTTTGTGCTGTTTTGGTTCGAAGTGAAAGAAAAGATAGCTCCAGGCTGGTGGCAAGTCTTGCACTGTGCCTTCAATTTTTGTGAAACGCAATAATGAGCACAGAGTTAGATGATGAGTGCAGTTCAAGATGTGACTAACTGAAACCACACACGAACAGTGTGTCATCATTCCTTTTAGATAAACATATATCATGCATGCAAATTAAATGAGTTTTAATCCGTGTGTCAGGAAAACCGGTTCATCAGAGTGATAGAGACAGATACTTTGTCCTATTGAATTTGGAACACATGTAGACATAGCAGATGTATAAAAGTTTTGTATTAGAGGATAAGCCTTAAACCCTTTATATAACGGTAAGGATTTTATCTTTTGAGTTTAAGTCAAAAGTGTAAATCCTAAAATCATTTTTTTTAATATATCTTCTATGAGAAACAATCTTGTTCTAGTCCATTCGAATATTTAACATAACTTACACACAAAATTCAAGATTACTGCAGGTTAAAATGCAACAATGAGCTATTTGTTTGGTTGTATATCTATCAATCCCATGCCTTACAATGTGGAAGTGTAGTGCAGTGCACCACCCCTTTATTGGAGGTCCTATCGCATTGATGGATTATTGTTAGGAACATGGGTACAGTGAATTTGACAATTCTAGGATCGGGAGTTTTTATTTATGATTTGGCAGGAGAATTATAATTAAGTGAGGAGTGATGAGGGAGTGTGTTCTGATTAGTCATCACGTGGATATGCTGCTGAAGGGTGGTTGAGATCTGAGACTCAACTATCACCACAAGAGTAAACACTTGACGGTGCTAACTGCTAAGGGAATATTGCTACAGGGAGAGAAGAAAACTCATGTTTCAGGAATTATATTGTTGGTCATTTGCAGCCTGTATGTTTCCAGCCATATGATTCAATTCTTCTTTTTCTATTGCTTTTATAATCCTTCACTCCTCTATGGAAGAAATTAGGAGAATAAGAAAACAAAATTAATTAAAAATAATTAATATTTTATTCTTAAAAAAAAAACTATGCAAAAGTCAATCGATTGGTAAGCCTATTCGTTTAAATTAACTAAGATCTTAAATTGAAATCGATTTTATTTTATTTTTATATTTTATATTCTTTTATGAAAATTTACATTGAGGATGAAGTCAACGAATTGTAATTTCATAAATCCTTAAATCATAAAAAAAATAAAATATTATATTGCATAACTTACTAAAATTGGATAACAGAATCTTGTTAATCTTTGACTCAACTATGTCAGTTAGGTATGAAATTGCTGAACCATCACTGGTTGAACCACATGATATATATTAAGTATATAATTTTTTTACTAAAAATGTTTTATATAAATTAAAATTTTCACACATACACTAGCGTAGCTGTTATCTATGTTTTAACGCTCTATTTGGTAGAGCTGAAGCAATGAAGAATATACACAGAGGCAGAACAGGGGTGAAGAGATAAGATAGATTGTTAGATTAAGACTGTTTGATTGGGAAAAGATATAAAGTAAAGAAATACAAAAAATAATGGGTCCATGTAAAAAATAAATGCAAGAGAAATTGGCTAAAAAAATTGGAAAAATAGGTTATATTTTTATTTTTTTGTCCATAACAATCATAATCCATCTTTTGCATAATTGATTATACATTTACTAATATTTTTGTTAACACGTTTAATATTTTATGTATTCAATCACTCATACTTTTCAATTTCTATATTAAATTGAAGTAATACTTTTAAATTAATTAGTTGCTTAATTAAAATTTAATTCATAATTAAATTTTCTTATGAATATATATAAATTATTATAAAAGTAATTTTAAGATTTAAAATTAAAAATTTCAATATATATTTTACTATTATTAAAATAGTCTCTTATTCATTAACTTTTTTTCTTCAATATACTTTATAATGGAAAATAGTGTACTTTTTTTATACTGTCAGTGAATATATTACTTTATTATTTTTAAAAAAGTCCTCTTAATATATTTAATCCAACGTCTGTTTTAAAGAGAAGAAAAGTTAGAGAGAAAAATCTGGACAAAAACTATAAAATTTAATTTTGTAAATTTCCCTTGCGCTCAATTTTTCATGGCATAAAGTTTGTTTCATTAATTTATTTTCAGTGCACAAAAGAGAGATAGATGAAAGTATAAAAAATAAAATACGCACAACAAAAAAATATTGATTGCGAGGAAAAATCTGTTGCGGAATCTTTTGGAATGATAAGAATGCGACAAGTGTTTCCTTAAACGACGAAGGAAAATAGTGAAACGACAGAGAGTGAAGAGCTCCAAACAGAAGCAGTCTCTGTTGAAAATTGAAATAGAAGAGAAGTGTGAAAGGAGAGAAGAAGAGGAGTTATCTGCATCGATCATCACCATGTCGTGTTGTTTATCTTGCTGCGCATCTTTGACCTGTGGTCTCTGCACCTCTGCTGCATCTTGCATCTCTCAGAAATCCGCTAGAATCGGTTACTGTGGTCTCTTCGGTGTCTCTCTCGTAGTTTCGTGGATCCTTAGAGAATTTGGAGCACCCCTCTTGGAGAAACTCCCATGTATTTTCCATTCCTTCATTAAAGCTTTCAACTTTAATCATAATCTTCCATTAGGGTATTTGTGCATCACGGGTGAAGACTGATTAATTGGATTACTCTTGCTTCATATTTATGCCCTATAGTTTTCTGAATTTGCCTTCTAGGCAGCCTCATTTTCTACGTGTCTAGATTTCGGATTCAAGTTATTGGAAGAATTTTTGGTTCAATGGAAACATATAGAAAATTAATATCAAGTGTATTTTTTTATCGATTATAATGACGTCAAAACCTTTAGGCTAGCCTAGTAGGTAAATTATCAGGTGTCGGTTTTGTTTTTGATAATATTTTAGAAAGACACTGTTTTATTTATTTATTTATTATTATTACTAGGTAAAAAAAAGTACATGGTACATGGGATGAATTAATGTCTTCACCCTTGAAATCCTTTTACTTTTGTTTGGTGCTCGTATAGGTATTTGAATATTTTTGTCTTTTAAAGTGGTAGTATATTAATTCTTAATTACAGGGATAGGTGCATCCAATACCCACACAAAGGAATGGTATCAAGAAGAAGCAGTTCTTCGTGTGAGTTTGGGAAATTTCTTGTTCTTTGGCATCTTGGCCCTTATTATGATTGGTGTGAAGGACCAGAATGATAAGCGGGATTCGTGGCACCATGGTGGTTGGACTGTAAAAGCGGTGATATGGCTTTTGCTTGTGGTCCTTGCATTCTTCCTCCCAGATGTTGTAATAGTAGTATATGGTAAAGTTTGTTAGCTTTCCTATCTTGTTCTCAATACTTGGTGGCATTGATGATTGAATATAGAGTCTGACTATTGAATTATTCAGTTCGTGCATATTGTATTTTCCATGAAATGTAGTTTTCAAAGAGGGTTTCTGGCTATATTTGATGACTCAAACTGAATTTCAGATGTTTATACCCCATCTTGCCCAACACCTATCACAATTTTTGTTGAGTTTCATTTTGATGTATTGTTGATGCAAAACACTTATCAATCTTAACACCTCATTTAATAAGTTTGCCTATCTTAACAACCACATAATATATCAAATTCCTTACATTATGTGGCAACATATCATCGGATGCAAGTACAAAACTGTTATACACTAATATTATTTCTAAATTGAATTCATTTCCTTTTTGGTTAGAGCTTTGTTCTTTTGACTCTTATATACGGTAGGCTCTAGACTTAGTCTGTTTGGTTAAAAAAGGGGAAGGGAGGGGAGGGGGCTGACATTTTTCATGTTTGGTTCACAAGGAGAAGGGAGGAATTTTAAAAATCAATTTACCTTTGTATCCTTATAATTTTAAATTTAAAAACCTATGTAAGGACATGATACTAAAAATGTTTTAAAATTCCTCTCCTCTTACTCCCCTAATATTGGAGGGGAGCTATAACAACATTAAATGAGGAGAGGATGAGGAGAGGTTTTGCTGCTCTCCATTCTCCTCCAACCAAATATTATGTTAAAAAAAAGACTCATGGTTAGCTTGCCTTAGAATTTGTACATTTTAAGGAAAATAAGATTTGCTTTGCAATTTAGAAACTGATTTGACCTAACTGAACTCTAAAACCTTGTTCAAGCAAGGAGGATTGCCCAAGTCTTTTAAGGATTATTTTGGCCATATTTCTAACTAACGTGAGACATCTTAACACTTTACTCGTGTGCCTAAGATTAGACATTTTCAAGTGGCTCAACATCAAGACTGGATAGGCTATGATACTATATTAAAAATGGATAGAGTCTAACTTAAATACAAGAGGGGAGGATTGCCCAAGGATTATAAACCATATTTGTAGCCAATGTAAGACATCTTAATAGCAACAAACTAATGTCCTCTTTTCAGGTTTTACAAATACGGATGTACTATGTCATTTGTTAATATATCAGAAGGAATCTATTTTGTTAAAGGTCTTCATCTTGTTTAGTGTGGTATATATTTTTTGTCTAATTGCATACCCTACCTATATAGAATGTATGGGAGGCCTGATTTCTGAATGGATTTTCCTTTGAAGGATTATTTCCCCAATTGAATTTAATCCCTAATTTTAAAATTGACATGTGCATATTTATAATGTTTGCAGGATTCATATCAAAATTTGGGGCTGGCATGTTTTTATTGATTCAAGTGATAATTTTACTTGACTGTACTCATGCTTGGAATGATGCATGGGTTGAGAAAGATGAACAGAAATGGTATGCTGATATTTTTTCCTATAATTTTCTATTTTTCCATTGTTGTCCTAATAATTTTGCTTGTTTAGGTATATTGCTTTACTTGCTGTATCAGTTGGATGCTACATTGCAGCATTTACGGTGTTGGGACTTCTTTTCATTTGGTTCAATCCTTCTGGATATGATTGTGGCCTCAATATCTTCTTCATTGTCATGAGCATGATTCTTGCTTTTGTGTTTGGAGTTATTGCCTTACATCCTAAGGTAAAGAATAAAAAATGCTTTTAAGCAATTGAACTTTTATTATATCCAATGCCATCAATATGAATTTCTAGGTGATGAGAGAACATCTGAGGTTTCTGCAACTTCCAATAAGATATTGTTTTTGTATGCTTAAAAAGTCCTAAATCATGTAGCCTTTTTGTGGCTTCCTTGACAATGAAGAGGGCTTTCTGACATTACTAGTAGTCATTTTCTCATGCTTAAGTTTGGCAGTGGGATATGATATCTATTGTTTAAAGAAAATGATTAATTAATTTTCTGAATGAGTTATTAAATGACAAGTAACAAACAATCTACATGTAACAATGTTGCGGTGGTAAAAGCTTGGAAGACGTAGCTTAATGGAAGAGGACATGTCATGAAACAAACATCTGAAAGAAAATTCTTTAAATGAACGCTACATCTTTCTCTTTCTGGACTCATGTCATATTTACATGTCTCTTGCATACAATTTTGATATATATCAAACTAGTTAATCCACAACCTGGTGTAAAATTCATGCTTTATTTTTCTCCTTATTTCCTTTCAAATGAAATTTTTATGGATTTTTGGTATTCCAATGAACTGCTTATGTAAAATTGGAAAATCACAGATTTCATCAGTTTTGGTCTGGAATATTACCAGCACAGAATACCTTAGCAATTTAGCTCTCGTGTAATGATGCTGGGCGTCATTGTGAGCTTGATAAGTTGTAATAGCTTTGATATAGTTTATAAAGTTAAGTAGATCATTAGCATGTTTTGAATTTGGTTACATTGTTAATTTTCGTTTTCCAGATTCTCAGGGCCATTGTATTTAACTGTCTGTTGTAGTTGAGGCCTTGACCCTGGTCTATTTATTAATTCTACACCCCAAGTACGTTCCCAAGTTGATCTTTGTTTGTCTTCATATAGTTTCTGAGCTTCAATTTGTCAAAGTTTCTGCTCCTTTACCCCCTCAAATCATATGTTTTTCCTTCCCAGAATTCGTCGACTTTCATACAAATCTTTGTTAAAGTGTCTTGTGATATACTCCTTATGTGACTTTTATCTTCAACTGCATTAATTAACTTCATTCTGTAATGCTAGTATAAATTATTAGAAGTAAGCAACTTTTGGGTAATCCAAAGAGTTATCAGTATATCAGATGCAAGAAATTGCCCAAGCAGGTGAGTGGTATTTGGTTTTGAAGGGAAGTGTGGTACCTGGTTTCTTCCATGTAGCCTCATGTAGTCATTTACTTTAATTATTGAAAACTGAATGATAATTGGAGTGCAATAACAGGTGAGCGGTAGCTTGTTGCCAGCCTCTGTGATTTCCCTTTACTGTGCTTATGTGTGCTACACGGGCCTTTCTAGTGAACCTCATGACTACGAGTGCAATGGTCTCAACAAGTCCAGAGCTATCAGCACAAGTACACTCGTTCTTGGCATGCTAACTACAGTGCTATCAGTGCTGTATTCTGCTCTTCGTGCCGGATCTTCAACCACATTCTTATCACCACCATCTTCACCTAAATCGGGTAATAAAGATGTTTGCAATCCTTTATGATCTCGTCTTATGATTTGTATTTGTTGTCATTTTGAATGTTATTTCTCATTTTACATGTTACATATTTCAGCTGGGAGCAAACCTCTTCTTGAAGATGTAGAAGAAGGAAAGACAAAGAAGGAGGAAAAGGAAGCAAAACCCGTTAGTTATTCATATTCATTCTTCCACCTAATATTTGCCCTGGCTAGCATGTATTCAGCAATGCTTCTTTCTGGATGGACCAGCACATCTGAGAGCTCAGATCTCATAGATGTTGGTTGGACTTCAGTATGGGTTCGAATTGGCACCGAGTGGGTCACTGCTGGTTTGTATACATGGACCCTTGTGGCTCCTTTGCTGTTTCCTGATCGTGAATTTGCTTAGCTCTCTCGTCTTTAAATTACTATACGCTATGGCCTTCACTTTGGTTGGTGTATGGTATTTAAATTTAAGTTATCATCTTCGGTGTGTACATATTGGAATGCTGTGTGTTGCTTGCAATACATGATATATGTACAGGTTCACCCCCTTCCATGTGAGATGTAAAGCATTTTATATCTACTATAATGCATTATAGTACGAGATGAGCTAAATAAATAAATAGTCTATTGGTCATAGTTTTTCTGCTTGATAACTTCTTTTGATCATCATAAATAACAGAAGATTGCAATATCTGGTCTTAACAATCCTTGCCACTATCTACTAGTCTATAAACTTTCGAAGGATCGCACAGAATTAACTGCAATAAATGTGATTCATCGTCGACCCATTTTATATTAATTGTAGGTGTTCTTTCTTAAACTTGCTGATTCCATTGTTTAATAAATTATTTCGCCTAAACTAAGCCCTTCGGAAATGCAATATTTTGGATTGACGTAGTCGTTCAAATCATTGATCAGCTTGTTAATGGTGTGAAACTGTGAATAACCTGATTGTACCCAATGTAGACTTTTATGCTTAAAAAAAAAGGCATTACATTTTCAATACAAAAATGATCGTGATTTCAAATCATTTTTTAAAATTTTTTTTAAGACGATTAATTTTATTAAAAACTGTCAAGATTACACAAGAAGTGGTCTTGACTCATTACATCAACATCCTGCAATCCAGCTACATAACTAACTCAATCCAGATCTAATCAACAGCAACACATTTTCCACATACAATTAAACATAATAACAAGTAAAGAAAACACACTGATCTAATGTCGTCGTGTTACGATCTTAACTAGCTCCTTTATACTATTCATATTCAGTCTGAACTTTATATCTATCAACTTACGACCATGCTAATCATGAATTTAGCTGAAACACAATGATCAACAAATAGATACATTTATCTCCATTAAAGAGGTATTCCTTTACGGCTCAAAGAGGTTATGAATGCCACTAATAAAAGGAAAAATTTACACCTCTAAATTTAGCCTTAATCCAACTCCAGGCTATCAGTTTTGTGTCTTCAAATACTTGATCCACACATAGATAATTATTTTTGAAGATTATACCATTCCTATGTATCCATAAAGACCATACATATTCACTCCAAACTACTAACAATCATCTTCATTTTCCTTCTTGCAACCATACCCATATGTTGCCACATATGATCTCTACATGTATTAGGTAAGGGATTCGAAAATCCCCATCACTTGTACAAAATTTGCCACACCCTATAAGAGAATATACGACCAAAAAATAAATGATTTGTTGTTTCAACCTTAAGCTGACAGAATGGATACAAAACATCATCCTCATCTATGATGATTTTCCTCTTAAAAAGTTATCTCTTGTTTGTATTCTATTATGAGCCATAGTAGTGAATCCTGAATAACAGAATGGAATAGCTAACTTTCAAAAAGTGGGATAGCGGAATAACAAATAATGAGATACTATTATTCTATTTTTTTTAATTTATATATATATATATATATATATATATATATATTAAATAATTTATAATACAAATAATTAATAATATACATATAAAAATAGAAACATAACTTAATTTATTCATTAAATATTTTTAATAATAAAAATTTATAGTAGTTAAACAAAAAAAAGAAAGAAATTAAGAAAACAATGATCTTATATTAAATTTTTTATTACTTAAAATATTATATAATTATAATAATAATTAATAATAAAGAAAAGTTCTTTTCTTAAAAAAAATAGTGAAGTAAAAAATTGTTAATCAAATCAAAAGATAAATAAAATGTGGCCCATTTGGCCCAATTTTTCCCACCCTAATTATTTTTCCACCCTTCTAATCCTCAGACACGAGTCGAAGAAGACGTGTCTCTAGATCCTGGAGAAGACAGAACCACCATCGGAGAAGACAGAGCCACCATCGGAGAAGACGGATCGACGGAGATTCGCGAGAGAAGACAAATCGACGGAGATTCGTCGGAGAAGAAGACAGATCGGCAGAGATCCGCCGGAAAAAGAAGAGAAGATCCGTCGCCCACCCGCGATCGCTCCGCCGCTTTCGCGGCCGATCCGACCGCTCCTTCAAAGCGCTCCGCAACAAACTTTTTGAAGCAGCACGGAGCCGCTCCGCTCCGACGCGCCGCGATTGCGGCCGCGACAACCGCTATGAGCTACTCCCCACAAAAACTCAACTACTTTAGAAGGTGTTCTTACCAGAAATCTACTGTAGAGATGATCCTCCGAGTAAGATTGGTGAGCCTCCTTCGCTGGTACGCTTGATGCTCCAAGATGGGGGGGGTATATGCAAAAGAGACTCCGATGCTTACGTTAGTGTTTGTGGGAGTATGAATCTCGTATAAGTAATGCACGTACCTTAGTGTGAATTAGGGTTGCTTTGGGCCTTGGGCCTGAGATAAGATATAATATGATTAGATAACGGACCTTGTCTGGGACGAGATCCTCGGGAATCGGTTATGATTCGCTTAAATGCCGAGCTGATGCCATGTGGTGCGCGTCCGAGGTCGGCTTGCGTTGTGGTGCCGAGCTCGGAGTTCGGTTACGGGGTACGGGTAGGACGCTAGCCCCCCGAGCTCTGAAGACCGTAGGTCGAGGAGTTAAGACTGGGCTCGCTGGGGGGAGGTGATCTTTCGCGTATGTTTGCTCGTTGTGGTGCCAAGTGTCGCGACTGTTCATTTCCCATAAACGTGCAAGTGGCGTGTTATGGGAAATGATGGTTATGTAATGATGGTCTTGCAATTAATTGTGTTGTCAGGCATGTCCCTTGGCTGACACGTGGCATGACCGTTTTGAATTTTGGAAGGGCCTTTTTCTCTCCCTCGCGCCTCTTCCCCTTTTCACTTTACTCATTTTTCACTCTTCCAGTTTTCTTGCGCACGTTGTCTCCTCTGCCTGCCTGTTCATCTTCCACTCTTGATTTCTTCCGTTTCCGCCATCGTTTCTGGTAACCCCATCATTGTTAGGGTTATTATCTGACGAGGAGTACCAGGTACTTCCTTTCTACTATTTTGTTTTCTCTTGTACCCAAATCTTCTTTGAGCCTTCTCGTTTCTTTGATGGCTGGTGGGAACGGTGCCGGTTCTTCTGTGCCTGCCAGGGGCAAGGCGCGTGGCAAGGCGGCGGTTACTGGGAAGGCCGCTGCCGAGAAGAAGGATGTGTCTCCACCTAAGGACTTGGAGCCGGGTATCCCTAGCTACGATTGGGTGAAGCATTTATGAGTATTAAATGCCAAATATAGCTTTTCAAAAAAAGACGATAGATTAGTGAACATATTTACGAATAAAATAATGTGCATCAGATTAATGACTCATATGAAGCAAGTATGTCCACGTAAGTGTAACATGATGCATGGAAGATAAAGTAAAATATGAGTAATACAATGCTTAATTTGATATATGCATTTCATATAACTTAGAAGTTTCTAGATTGTTTAACTTAGCCAGACGAGTTTGGCTTAGCTATAATTTGGCTTCTATAATAGTTTTTTTGTTAAATTGGTTTAGCCAACTGAGTTTGGCTTGGCTAATTTGGCATCTGTTATGTTTTTTTTTGTTAAATTGGTTTAGCCAGATGAGTTTGGCTTAGCTAATTTGGCCTCTGTTATTTTTTTGTTAAATTGGCTTAATCAGACGAGTGTGACTTAGTTAATTTGGCCTCTATTATAATTTTGCTAAATTGGTTTAGTTAAACGAGTGAGGCTTATCTAGTTTTGGTTTATGGTGTGATTCTCTTAAACTAGGTTAGCCAGACGAGTATGACTTAGCTAATTTTGGCCTCTTATGTGTTTCTCTTAATATGGCTTAGCCAAACAATTTTAGCTTAGCCAATTTTCACCTCTGTTGTGTTTTTGTAGAATTTGAAGATGAAATATATCAAGTTGTTTATGTTGAATATTTTGATGTACTAATTGTTGTAAGTTGAATAATTGGGGAATGATGTTGTATTATGTTGTTTATAATAAAAGACTATGCTGTAGAATATTTATGTGAAGTAAGTTGAGATAATTTGTGTTAAATTGAATAATATTTCTAAATATTGTGTTGTGTTGAGAATATAAGTGATGCATGTTGTTGAGTTAAACTATGTTGAGAATATGCATGATGCATGTTGTTGACTTAAACTATGTTGTGAGATGCATGATGTATGCTATTAAGTTATGATGTTGAGTTGTGTTGTATAACTATGTTGTTGAATTGTGTTGTATAGCATTTGTTAAGCTGCATTGTATAAACATGTCGATGATGCATGTTGTTAAGTTGTATTGTGAACTTATGACTAGAGAAGATGTGTTGTTTTGGAAGTTGAAATATTTCATTGTGTGAATATGTGTTGTGGTGCTTTGAGAGCCAAAAATGTTGAAAAACCCTTCTCGAGTATTGTTGTCTCTTAAAGTGAAGTATTGAGTTTCCTCTAAGTCCTTAATTGATATAGTATGGGATTAGGTTAAATTATACTATTAATATTGTGACTTATTGAGTAAGGTATGAAGTGAAGGGATAAAGTCCTTAACTGATTATTGGAATAATGAGTGGTAATCGGGCTGACACGACACGCCACTAACCATTCCACTATTCCATACATTCCTTTTTTAATCCCTATTTCATAATCATTTAAAAAATTTATGAGTATTAAATGCCAAATATAGCTTTTCAAAAAAAGACGATAGATTAGTGAACATATTTACGAATAAAATAATGTGCATCAGATTAATGACTCATATGAAGCAAGTATGTCCACGTAAGTGTAACATGATGCATGGAAGATAAAGTAAAATATGAGTAAATATTTACGAATAAAATAATGTGCATCAGATTAATGACTCATATGAAGCAAGTATGTCCACGTAAGTGTAACATGATGCATGGAAGATAAAGTAAAATATGAGTAATACAATGCTTAATTTGATATATGCATTTCATTCTGGAGGATGTTGTGACCTCTCTTAAAGGAGAGTTGGCGGAGGCGGCTGAGGAGAGCCTTCATAGCGAGGTCATTCTTGGTGGCCGGGAGGACGAGATTGCCACCTTGAGGGCGGAGCTTGCAGAGCTGGCGGCGGGGAAGGTGGCCGTGGAAGGGAGGCTTGCGGAGGTCGAACGCTCCGTTGTGGTGGAGCACAAGAGGGGCTTCCACAAGGCTGTCCGTCAGGCACGGCTCCTTGCTCCCGGGTTTGACTT